AATCTTTTCATTAAGTTCTCACCAAGGAGTGAGATGATTGAGACAGAGCGGTAGTGAAATGAGCCGGTAATGTTAAATTTGAGCCCCACCATTGTGTGAAAATACAGCAACACAAAACTAGCCCAAGATGGGTGCGGACTCAGCAACAGAGCCTGAGCAGCTGTTGCAAAGTTACTGCAACACTCACTGATTTCAATATGGCAAGATTGCAATAACTGATCACCACAATCTGGCAAGGGAAAGAAAATGTCATCGATGGTGAAGGTCTGATTGGAAGGAGAAATCAGTACTTTTTATTTTGACAGAAAAAGAGATGCAACTGTTTCTCAAAACGAGGTTTGTAGCAAAGTCTGCCTAATCAAGGTCAGTAATAGAACACCACTGTGATTATTGAATAGCTTGGTGACATTACTTACAGCATGTTACCCCGAAGTCAGGACATGGAGTAAATACATGAATTACCAAGGCAATTTACGTTTCTACTTTCTAATAACTTTATACAGAGCAATATAATAGTGATGGAGGAAATGGCCTTAATGTCAATGTTGGTAGGCAGGCAGGTGCTCTCTAACACCATGAAATGTACCAAAGTAGACCACTACAAAGGCAGATATGCATGTTACACGGCAATGAATTACCAATACTCTTTACCCTCTCTGATGGTCATTCTACAGGTCAGCAGTCATTCAGTGGACAATTAGGAACAAAATCATTGAAGGAACAGTTTGAACCATGCACTAGGAAGTGGGAGGCTGAGAGCACCTATTTTAGTTACTTTATTAAGAGAATAAAAACGAAAACCCAGAGGAAACTCTACGGAAAAAAAGAAACCAGAGCTGAAAAATCTTTTCAAAAAATAAGCTGGTTCACCATGACTCACACTTTTTTCAGAGAAATTTCAATCCACTTTTAGAATGGACGAAGTTTTAATTTTTTTCAATATGGCAGGTCTTCATATATCGCCAGAACATCATTCTAGAATATTCAGAACTTAAATCAAAACTGTTTTGAAATTCACTACACCCTAAAACTGTGTTATATAGTTTGTTTCGTGAATCGAAAAGACGATCTTGCTAAAATATTTGAAAATGGTTTACGGCTCAGCCTTTGTGAAAAGGTTATTTCAGAAAACGGCGATCTCTTTATATTTCATGGTAACTGCGATGCTCTTGCACGCATACGATGAAATATGTCGAAATATGCAATTGCGCAGTTGGAATATCCAACGGAATGGAATGTGGTTTGCAGGCACGCAAGAACTATTTACAGCGCAGGTCACTGGGACAAGAAGCAATACGACTAGGCCTACGTCTGACAAGTACATTCATACAATACTGGCATAATTTGAGGCCCAAAACGGATACAATTTATATGAAATAAAGGAGGTTTAACCCAAACCAGACGTTCAGATTTTTTCGGGTTCGGTTAGGCTTTTGTCGATTTGGGTCGGTTCTTCCCTGATTTCTTGTCGGGTTCTGTTTCTTGGAGAGTTCAGAGTGGTTTCGGTTTGGATTCGGTTTTTAATTATGTCTGTTATATTTCGGGTCGGTCTAGCCTGATCACCCCAATCCGATACACACCATTACTACAACCAATACAATCTCCATAGACGGTCGCTGCGTGACCTTTTACTTTCAGTCTGGTGCAACTTTTAATGAGTTAATAGAAATAGAGTTGAGTGAATGAGAAATAGTAGTATTGTGGAGCCTGTGAATGATGACGGCCTAGTTTAAAAAGGAACAATTTAATTGACAGAAAAATCAGATTATTGCTTTCCATGAGTGTAGTATAATTCAATTCGAAGGACTTACCGACTCTGCATGAAGAGTGGCGTACTAGCTAGGAAAGGGGGCACCAGCTTTCTGTGGTGTGGTTGTTTGAGGAAGGTTTTTTAAGCCTTGTTCAATAATATTCATCCATCCGTTGTTTTAGTGGGGAAGTGGGCGCCTAGGGGCACCAGAATTTGTGGGGGTACCCCCCCCCGCTAAGTGCCAGTGCGCGGCGACGCTGGTCATTCGTCGGCTTCACTTAGGCCTAAGTTAATGGCTAACCTCAACCCGCCTGAACTGTAGCAGTACGTGTGTTTGACAATGTAACTTTGTTAGGATCACGCGCCCACTGGCAGCAACTTGTGCATTGTACGCGGATGACGGTCGGCCATGTCGTAAATGAAGCAAATTTCCAACTTGAAAGTCCTTGCGAGTGAAAGCACATTTTATGGCCATAGTCCATTCATCACAATGATTACGATCAAACTTCCCGTGGCCAAGTTTCTGCTTCAATTAATGCACTAGATAAAATTATCAAATGAGATTTTCCCAGCGGCACACTGTTTCTTTAATTTCTTGAACAAAATAAATACTATTGAAGTGCAAATAATGGACAAAGCTGAATGCAACAAGCTCAGTGCCTGTGTGAGGAAGCAAATTGCTGCTGGAATAACAAGCACAAGCATTTCAAACTCTACGTGACGTTTATTCACTTTCTTACGCGTTACCCTCAAAAAACCGTTTTCCTGCTGTTTCTAAAGTTTTGGGGTTTTCAGTTCCTCCCATTACATAAAAATTCTCCAGGAACCTGCGCATGCGTCAATGTATACGTTCCCTCCGTAATAGAATGCAAGCAATGGGTTTTTTCGACTCCCTTTTGTGCATTCTTTATAGTCTTCTCCATTACACGAAAACTGTTTACAGTAACAAGCGCAGTCTAAAACGCACCTCCTTTTTACACATTAACAATTCTTCAAGCTTTCCAAACTTGTGAGGGCGCTGTTGCAGCGGTGCACATCGGGGGAGGAAACTGTTCAGCTTGCGTTTTCATGCTCAAGTTTTGAACCCCAAATTTGCTCTTCATAAGCATTTTTGAGGAACAGTTTCTCATAGGCTTATTGCAAACTGCACTGTCAAAAAATGGACATTCACTTTAACTTTTTCTCTTTATTTTATTGAAGACCGATTCAAATTTGAAGATGCTCAGAACTGCCATACTTTTGCTCGACAGAGGAAATGTAGGCCCTACATGTATCAGATATTCAATGATCATTCGGCAGTCATACAAGTATTGAACCAGGAATAATTATCAACTTTGCCCCGATGACTTAAAATGTCTTTAATGCTTGGTTGGCACCAAATGTTACCAAACAATGATTTCAAAATTACGAACAATACAGATAATTTAACTCAATTTAGAGAAAGTAAATTTTTTGCTTTGACAAAATGGGAAGAACTCAGCTGTAGCTTGTTGGAGTTGGATATGAAGAAATTTAAGGTAGAGGGAGTTCAGTTCAGCCAAAATGCAACATACTTTCTGACGCAGATTTCACCAATTTAGCCATATAAGGTCAACAATACTGACACGCATAATTTGTGCAGTTTATCGAGTCATCACAAATCCACTCGTGTAAATATCAATTTTTCCCTGGAGAAATAACTCGCTGGTAAATCACATCATTCAAATCATAGATGGTTTCACTTAACTCAAATATGACGAAGTCAAACAATACACATGGTGTTTGTAGGGGTATGAGTAACATCTTTGAGGATATTTCAGACAATGATTTGAGTCATTTTAATACATGCCCTTGTCGTCAAACTACATGTGACTAGATTCCAGTAAATGAGTCTGAAGCCATGTTTCACTCAGATCGTCTCGGTTTGCCATAGGAAAGCACACTGAGATGTTTGTTTCCACATATGGCCCAATTTGGAATCCCAATAAATATGGACATTCAATGAGTGCAAAATGTTGAGGCTTCTCGTTGATGTGTATCATGCAAGGTGCCGTTAATGTCTATTAACTCAAATGGGGCTAGACGGCTTGTGGCTGGGTCACATGCATTTATTTAATCGAACTAGATCATACTGATGTGCCAATGAAGCCAATAGTCCTCAATACACTTGAGACACCAAAAACTACTACACTGTACATAAATGTAACCTGGCTCCGGGAGACGAAAAAAAACTCTGTGGATTTAAAATGACTTATCGTCGCAAGACTAAGTATTACATTAAGACTGTACCCCTGTGAGGGGGGTGGGGGTAAACTGGGAGTGGGGTCAGATTGTAGCTCCGCTAACAGGAGGATGGAAGTATCACTTGGCCTTCTCTTTTCTTCTGGAGGATTTCTTCTCTTTAGCAGGTGCAGCTTCCTTTGTCTCTGTTTCAGTGTCCTCATGTGGTTTCCGCCACTCTATTGGGCTCCTCCGGTAGATTGGCCACGGGGGAAGCGTCAACTGAGCAAAAACGGGGGGGAGGGGGAGACATTTTGAAAAGACTGGGATTATTCTTGGTCTCAAAGACTTTATGGAAGATGGTCCAAGGGTGATCTGAGTATACACGTAGGTATCGGGGGATTTCACCAGAACCATGTTGCATGTCCCAATTGTGTTAAAAAGGCCTTTTTTTCCATCCTATGTTTTCGAAGCAGATGTCAAAATGAAATTGTCTCAGTATGCAAAGAATGGAGAACCCGGTTTTGCCCTAAGAGTCCAGAAGTAATGCCTGGAAGTCAGGGTCAAAGAGTGCCCTAAATTGGTGAGTGTATGAGCAAGCATGCCTCCTGACTTTTGTCAATGAAGCCATTAACACCAGGACGATTGAACTTTTAAATGTTTGACAAAAGAAGCTCCAAATCCATCTACAGATTTCCTGAAACGTTTAAACGAAACTGCTCCTTTTTGATGTGATTGATGCAATCTGGAGTTCATTTTTATTGTTACTGATGTCCGATACATACATGTACTTGCTTTCCATTTTGGCATCAACGTCAAGTGTAATTTCTGAGACAAACAGTTGATTTTAAAACAATAAACACTGCTCGCTTTACATGCCCTGACATCAATCTACATTTTTGCATTGGTTGGACTATGTGCATTGTTGACCTAAACAGGCCTACATAACTATGCATATATAAATCAATGAGGTAGCTGCGCCAGCCTCTGTAAAGTGGTTAATTGTTTTAGCTGTATAGGACAGTTTTCAAAACGTTTTTCAAATTAAACTCCTACCCTTAAAAGGCCATAACTACTGTAAAAGGTGTGAATCATTCATATCTACGATTTACCAGTTTACTTATTTCTATAACAATTCTTGATTAAAAAAATCTTGTTCTGTTATTCAACTTGCTTTCATTGTTTTATTATGATTAAACAAGGATTACATCAGGTCCCTTAAAAGCAACACTTGTTTGAAATCACAGACTGTGAATACCGTAGAAACATGGTGGTCTAATGTTGTCCCATGTGGCTCCAAAACTAAATGTGGCATTAATGTGTGTCACCAGGAAAAAAAAAATCACATTTTCTTCTTGTCATACTTACTATGCATGACAGGACAAACCCTGCTCCTAGAATGTAGATCGTCTGGACAAACTGCTCACAGACATAGCCCCAGATAAAACCTACAACCTGCGAGCACACCGGGAAAAGTTCAAAATGCAGTTGGGATTTGTCTGACATTGAAACACAGTTCATTTTTCACTCTCAAGTCACACAAAGGGACTCTGTCCAAGCACCTGGAGATCTCTTTAATCTCAGATTCTGGAACAGGAAGACAAATCCTGTGAGTTTACAGAAACATTTTACAGTTTTTTGTAAATGGACACACCTAATGCCCTGTGCACAAACCATGAGACTGGACTGAAAAGAATTCTATGTGGGTTTTTTTGGGGGAGGGGGGATTAAATGCTTCGATACTTTTCCATACTTTCGATATTTTGCAGTTGATTGTTCAAGACTGGTTACATGTAAGTGCCTTCACATGGCTGATTTAGGACAACTTATTGGTGCCTGTCAGCCTTTGCATGGAATTCTTCCCCAAATGTTTCCTTTAGTTAAACTTTTCAACCAACAATCCACTGTTAAATGATGAGCACACACGCCATCCTTTTTAAACATGCACACACACAACCAACTGCATGTACATGTACTCATGAGTATCTCATAAAACTGTAAATACAAACATGACTATGTTCAAAGTTGCTTTCATTTCCCCAAAACCACATGCATGTACATGTCAGCATAAATTCTCATTAGCACCAACCTCCAACAAATTGGTACCACATTCCTTTCTTTTTGTCACAAGTTTTACTCAGAATAAAAATCAAGGAAATGTTACAGCCGAATTGAAAGTATTGGAGGTTTTTGTGATAATAATTGAAAGTCAGAACAATACATGAACATGGTATTCTGACAGCAAGCATGCTGCAGTGTACGATGTACGAGTGGCCTTTAAATATTCCCAGGCCAATACTTCTACATGTCAGAAAATGAGGGTTGTATATAGTTCAAATTTATGCCTAAAAAGTATAGTGGAGGCAAAATTGAATACTTCAGAAAAGAAAAGGCCTCAATGAACTTTTCAAAAAGTTCTGATGAGAAATTGGAAAAATTATTTTATGTGGCCTAAATTTTTTTGTATTGTCATGTTTCACTTGTCAAAAAATCACACAAAAAATAGTAAAAAAACCAAACACGAACACTTACAGCAAACAGAATGATGATGCCTTGGAAGAGCTGTTCGGCAAGCTTCTGACCTTTGTAATCCTGGCGTTAAAAATGACAACATTGCAAAATAGTTACGACTAACAAAAACACTTGATTTTAGTAAGTTTTAAAACTTCTGTTATTTTTATCAGTTTCCTTTGCGTTTCGCTGTCGCAATGGTGAAATCACAAGCCCGAAGCTCAATGCATTGAAGCAAAGCTGCACTGGTTCCCAGCGTGCTGCACCCCTGCAAAAGAATGCATGATGAAAATTCTGCCAATCAGTCTACTATACAGGTATGTCCAAGCTACACACACACGCAAACTACAGCTGCAGGTCGAAAAAACATTGATGTTGCAAGAGGATTTCTACAAGTTAATTCACAAAATACGGTCTATTGTCTATGTATGTATTTTCTGTGTTCATGAGTTTAATTTGAGGTTGTTTTGCTGATACTTGAAGTGAGCGTGTTTACACAGAATTTCCTGCTGTGGCACGAGGTTTATCACCCGCCTGTCTGGATGCATCGCGCACACTTACCGCGCAATCTACGGACATTGTTGGCCAGTTAGCTGTCGTGATTACCTGACTAGCATAGCATGAATTGTCAATCATTCTTGTGGATTGTCGACTGTAGAAATTTTTGTATAGTGTTTTGTAACATATTTTTATCACTTTTTAGATAATTTTTGGAAGTTTTCGTCTGCATTCATGCTATTACGTCAAATATAATTATTACAAAAAAATGCCCCCCCATTTCAACCTGCTGACCCTATTTTTGAGAGGCATGTACATTGCAATCGGAAGCAGAAGTATTTGAGGGGGGGGGACTTAGTATATCTGACTGTAATGAGCTAGGCATGTACTTGGCCTTGGTACTAGGCTGGAGTTTTATTTAATCTAACTAAGAAAGCCTGCCCTGGCAGGCACATAGGGCCTATATCATTTTATCAATCATGCCAGCTGGACATACCATATTATATATACATGATAACATGATATGATAACACCATGCTGCCCATATCACCACTGTTGTACTGATTTGACATGGAAAAGCCGTCGAGAAGATAAGGGGTCAAGTGACGTAATGTTCAACGACCTTACTTTAAAGATGGTGACTGTGAAAGCGAGCCCGTTAGATTGAATGGATAAAGGCAAAAAGACTGGAAAATACCTGAATAACATCATGAACGTGCGTGAAATCAATCAATAAATGGTTTTTAGAAAGCGGAAAGGTCAAGGATCATGTCTGTGTGCAAAAGAAATTGCGCCCACGATGATAAGTGGGTGCTCCTAAAATGTTCAGTACGCCGACACGATATTGCGTATACGGCTGTGTGGCTAAGGATGGATCGGGAGTGAGAGTCCGTGCCAGTGGGGCTAACATCAGGTTAGCGCGATTCAGCGTTGAGTCTGTTCTAAAACCATGAAAACTGGAATCTTACCATGTGAGTTGGAATTGATTTAATGTAGTCCATTGCTCCCGAACTGTCTTTCACTTCAACTACAGTGATGACAACTCTGATCAAATTCTAGAAAATGTTGCGTTCTCTCAAAACGGGGACCAACTTGTACATGTATTCTGTGGTGTGATGTGTACTTTTGAGAGCGCCACCAAGTGTTGTGGTGTGTTTAGGGAATTTATTTGTTGAACAAATTATTAAATTTTAATTCCTGTTCCTTATTTTTCATGAGTTATGTTAACTAGCAATTTTCAAAATATATATTGTATAATAGAACATTTTGAAAATCTATATTTAAAAAAGGATATATCTAAAATAATTATTTCATTTTTACATGCTTCGAAAAAGAGTAGTGCCTAAGACTGTGTTCATGAGCTAAACATGGCTGCGCCCTTTACCCTGTGTCATCATTAAATTGTTGACGCGGCAGAAAAAAAATGTAAAGGCCGTTCTGCTATGAAAAGATATCGCGTTAATCTCGATTTCTTTTGTTTGCCTACTAGTAATAAGAAGAGTGGGAACCATTATGGCTAGAATTTACCCGACTACAGGCAAGTTAGTCATAGAAATTCAGGATCAAGGAAAAATATTGAAGCATTAACTACAAACTAAGCTAGGCCTAACTTGGATTGATTCGACCATTCGATGACCCAACCTGCATGACCTGATGACCTGCTATTAGTATTACTAATGCTATTGCTACTGCTAACAGTAACAAAATAGCGGTGCACATCACAACTCTGAGCCTGGCCTAGTATTTGGAGAAGTCCCTTTGTTCATGGACAGGACAAAATTAGTCTCCAGAAAGAGAGAATGCCCCTCTAAATGGGGATCTGGAAAACATGTTGCAGCCTGACTCCACTTCAGCAGTTGTGTACAAAGTCTATGGAAAGTGAAGAGAATTTTCTAAGTATTTCCCAGCAACATCAGCAAATGTTTCTCAGTCCGGAATTCGTGTCTTTCCAGCATTTCTGTAATGACTGACTTTTATTGAGACGATATAGGGCCTATGACTGTATGAGTAGGCTTTTGATTAGAAAAGTGGAATCAGGATGCAACATTTTTCAGGGGATTTTTTTCAAGTGGGTTTGGTGATGCTCTCCTATTTCCAGAGCTTCAAGGTTTGTACATGGAAGAATAAAACATACAAACCTTCCAGATACATGTTGCTGGGTACAAACACCCATAAACACGTTTTGGCAGTTTTTATTGTGCCAACTTCCCCTTCCATCACAGCTTTGTGAAACTAGATTTCATACATGTATGCCTTCTTGGTGAAGTTAGATGTCAGATGGGGAGGTTTATTTACCTTTAGACCTTATATCCTCATAAAATGGTGACATTCTTTAGCATTTTGCCCATCCACACAACAGAAAATCAGCAGCATGTACTAGTGTCAGCTGTGTGATAGCTTCACCAATCGCAGCACAGTTCCTGCCTTCCCCTTTTGTAAAATTTGGTTTCCTGACCCCATTTAAATGAAAGCTGAGCTAGTATGACTGGTTATTGGAATGGAAACAAATTGGACCAATCACAGTGGGGCTTTCATCTGTGGGTGACACTGACAGAGTTGTGCACAACGAAAGAAATCTGCAAAATGTTGATCTGCTTCCATTAAATATTTCATACATATTGTAGGCTAGGCCCCTACTGCAATTCACCTCAAGCCATACTTCTTTCTCAAAGTGTTGCATTATACTGGATTTTATATTTATAAACATGACATTTCACCGCTGATCAAAGAAAAAGAAAATCTCAGAATTTCCAATTCCGATACATGCTTGAAGATCATTCATCTTGCATTGACATGATTAACCAATCACATTCATTTTTCACCTTAAAGTGACAGGTGCCCATTTCAAAGGATAATTAACAATAGGACTGGATATTACAACTTGGAGGGTTTCCTTAAACTCGGAGAAAGCCCTTTATTTGGGGGCAAAATGCACAGTTTTCTCCACAATTGTTTCAATGCATTGTGTGAGACCTCACTTCACAAATACAATGCTCAACATCAACGTCATGCATGTACATGTATACATTCTAGGCCACACCGATACATTTATATTAAAATACTTGTATACATGTATATACCTGAAGAATTATGATGGCTAGATACAGACCTCTTTCCAACAGTAATTGTAATTCTATTGTTTTGTTACAGTCGTTGCTCTGTTGATTATAGTCGTTGTTGTCTACCTCCTGGTATTCTACCTGCCCTTGCCGGCAAACCAGCCAGATGACAGAAAACCCAAAGGTATCACATTAATAAGGTTACCAGTGGTCAGTTGCCAAATGAAAAAAAAAGGCTCCAACCCCCAGCATTTGGCCAAAAAAAAAAGATTCGGTAAAATGCGAATTTCTCTCATGTACATGTATTAGCGAAAACAGATGCTTTTAACCCTGCGTAATGTACTTTCAGGAATATGTACTTGTGTTCGTGTAACTACATGCGACTCCCTGTCCGGTCAACATGCAAGTGACTCATTTTTACTGTTCAGGCACCACAGAGTTCCATCACAGGTGAATCTGGTGATGGTGGTGTTAACTCTGGTCATTTGCTCTTGCAGTTTCCCCACCAATGGTGGTAATCATTGTGATACATGTAGCTATGGAGCTGCAGTTCTGTGGCATTTACACTGTACACAATCTAACAGAGTACTTTCCTCTAATAAAACTTTGCCAGATTGGTTCTAGCTGATAATGATCTTGAAAAACCGAGGACCTTTAGGGATTTTATATAAGCTACATGTACATGTATAATTTTGCAAATCCTTTAACAGTAAAGCAAAATGCATTGATTGATGCTAAATGTGCCAATTTTTCAGCCGCAAGCTTCATTCGGTTATACTGTTTGAATGAAAATTGACAGTGGTGATTCATGTACAATGTAGGAGGCAGTAGGCTATTCGATTAAGCCTACCCTTTGTACATTGAAGGCAGACATCCATTGGTTAGGTATTAAGATCAATATCTTTTAATTATAGGTTTTGCTCTTGGGAAATAAATCAATAATGTTAGTGACTTTCCACAACCACAGGAAAGCTTTCAACCATGCCAGGCAGTTTGTGACATCATACCTTACGAGACCACAGATAAGCCAGAACTAAAGCTTCTTCATAGAAAAACTACTCAGATTTTAAAAATGCAGTGGTTTGTCCTGTCTCAGTTTCAACAGTCCCACAGGAAAGCAGTTTGTGCATTATGCAAAAATGTACTATGCGCTGCACAAAATTCCATTACAGCTGGACTGCGTGTAGATGGCTGCTGTGCCGAATAACGATTAGCGAATATTCAAATATTACTTTCCAAATTTGAATGTTCGAATGCAAAATTCATGAAAAGGAAGGGAACATTTTCTTCTGCTTTAAATTAGAAAAAAATGCACAATGGAGGCTTGTTTCCAGCAGACTTTAGTGAAAAGCGACAGAAATCTTCAGTAATTAAAACAGTAAATTATTCATTGACCTATTCAACAGAAATGAAAATTTCCAATCGGGCAAGAAGTATTGTTCATCTCTTAAATCTTGCTAAATTGTGGCTGGAGGTTCCCTTAGACGTGAGAAGCTAGTCTACTGATTATAATGTACAGTTGTGTGCCTTATTGCAACCGATTTTGTATATCGTTCGGATATTCGGTTGAATTGAAGGGCGAAAATTCGAATAGTGAATTATTTGAATTGACTCAGCCCTCGTGAAGATGTAAGTTTGCCCTGAGGCTAACCAGCTATTTGAAATGATGCTGGGAATCGTTTGTAATGCATGTTTTTTTCAGCATCTCTTTGACTTGGTAACCTGCAGATCTTTTGGCAGCCAAGCAGGACGGGCCTCTTCTCATTGCGCCAGGCCAGCACAAGAGGAACACCAGCAAAGGGTCCAAGTTGGGCCCCGGCAGGGCCCCACAGTTGCAGAGGCCATCGTTCAAGGGGAAGGACATTGTCAACGTGGTCGTTTGCTCGGATGAGAAGACCCTGGGGGGCCTGATCGCCACCGTGAACAGTATTTGGCTGAATTCCAAGTCCCACGTCAAGTTTTACATCATGGTGGACAAGGAGTCCTTGCTGCATCTCAGGTAATTTTGTTTATGGTCTTTTGCTTTATATTATTGGCTGTGTGTCATATAGAATCAGTGCAAAATTGCATCTTAAAGACCCCTGTACATGGACGTCTACTAGAGTCCACTCCAAATGAACATGATGGAAATCACCTGCGTACCTTCATTCTGCACAAAATACATGTACATGTGTAGTAAACTCCTTTATAGCTTTCATCAGCCTGAAGAAAGCTGTGAATTCGCATTGATTAAACCTAAATTGTTTCAATTTTTGCAGATCATGGCTGGCTATACCTGCCTTGCAGGATATAGACTACACTATGGTGGCCTTCAATGAATCGTGGGTGAAGGGGAAAACGCAGGCCAAGGATGTGAGAAGAGACAGTGTTTCACCAGTGAGTCGACTGTCAACTAATTGAAAATGAGAGGACAGGAGCTGGACAGAGTCTGCTTCCATACTTGTGCATGTTAGACTCCGGCCTGGAGCCTGGCAGCAAATGGTGAATTGAGCCAAAGCTTACATGATCTTCTAATCACAAGAATTTGCTATTTTTCACTTTTGCAGATGACATTTGCACGCTTTTATTTTGCCAAAGTGTTCCCAACATTGAGGGGCCGCGTGGTCTTCGTGGACAGCGATACGATTGTCCAGGGAGACATTGCCGACTTGAACAACACCAAGATGGAGCCAGGCGTTGCTGTGGCACTGTCGGATGACTGCAGCTCCTCCTCCAGTCGAGCCAGCCTGCATCAGGTGGGGCATAGAACCTTCCAAATGGAGGCATGTGATACATGTATGTTCACCCAGCATTGCTGGTGTGTCAATTTAGTTAATACTGTACATGGGATTGTACGGAGTGGCGCATGACAGGGATAGACATGATGCGGTCTGTCTCCTACGACTACGGCTTTGAATTTTTACCAATAAAGCCAGCGGTGAAGAGCCGTTATCAGTGTTCAATATTTGTGTATGCCGTTGTCTCTGATGGAGATGTCCCACCGTGTGTTGCCAACATAGGGTATAACAAAAACCTTTGAAAGTATTTCTTGTAGGGGTTTTCCTTAACATATTCACTACTCAAAAGTATTAAAGGAACAAGAAAACATAATGTTTTTGTCATGGTCCATATGGGCTACCGTCAGAACATGAGGCAGTAAAGTTATGTGAAAATCATTCGGGTGTTGTCAATTGGTTCTCAAACAATACTCCACAATGTTGGTGCAATCATACATGTCATTTGTGTCATTCTGTTCTCTTGTTCCTTTAATTCTTTTGAGTAGTGTATATATTTGCAATGGACGTTTGTAGTGACACACATGATAAAGCCAAAAATGCAAAGGTTTTTTAAAGAGATATTGCACCACTTCATGCAATATCGTCATTAGAAGAGAGTATAAATCCTTGACATACCATAAACTGATTTTTAACGACACCATTAAACCCTACCGAATTCTACTCTATCCTAATATCAACTGGAGTTTCGGTTAGACAATGAATTGCTGTGACAAAATAATATCACAGCAAACCAGATTTTAAGTTCGTAAATCTGGCTTTAAAAAGCTTTTGCAAGCTAATGACCATCAGGATTGCTTGAAGTTCAATGCTGGCTTCATATTTATGAGTTTCATATTCTTGTGAAAACCCCGGTTGCAAGAATATCATGATTTGTTTTGCACGAAGAGAGGAAACACACAAATTTTCACTGCTCAAAAAGGGCTACTACATATTTGCTTACATGAGATCATTGACTGGCAAAGAATCCGTCAGACGTCTCGTTTCTATGATAACAGCTCACTTGCATAATAAGCAAAATTAAGTTGAGGAAAGAAATATACTCGAATAACCTTGGCATGCTATTGCAAGAATAATTTCATGCCAAAGTCCTCAGTATTGCATACCTTGGAAAGTACTACTTTCATCCAACTTGGCCTCACTACAACGATTGAAAAGTCTCTTCAGCCCCAGGGACAATTGGTCGTAACTACATCCTTGACAAGGAAGTATTTGAAAACTCCAGATTACTGGAACATTCCCCACGAGCAGACCCAGATAAGTTGGGAGGACTTGCCAAAAGCAATGCACAGCATGTGCAAATGCATAAACAGTCTGCTGTCTTACATTGGCCCAAATTCTTTGTATTTGGAGTCAAATACCGCCCTGATTTGTAATTGCATAGACTTGAAAAGTAGAAAGGCATCCAGGTGGTATGTTGTGTTTATGCATGAATGGGCAAAATCTTGGAAGCATCCCGGTTGTCATAACTTTGTTGTGTATTCTATTTTTCGGTGGACAAGAATGTGTACTCCAATTATCTGAACTTTAAAAGCGAACGCATCAAGAAGCTGGGCCTTAACCCTATGGCTTGCTCCTTCAATGCCGGAGTCTTCGTAGCCAACATCAGCTTGTGGAAAGAGCAGAAGATCATGGAGAAGCTGGACTACTGGCTGGGTGTCAACGCCAGGTGAGTCCAGCACTGACGTTTGTTTATTGCCTCAGTGTACAAGAACTTGCCTGCTGAAATATGAAGTTCCATGGTTAAAAGGGTCACTAATGAGTTAAACTGTGACACTTTGCATGGAAGGTTTGTGGTAGTGGACAGATGTCTTTTTTGTGTGCTGAGAACTCAGTGCTGAGAAGATTCAGTTTGGTGCTTTTATCAATGTTATCTTTTAAACCTCAATGAATAGAGTTACAATAATTGAGTCTTTACAAAACCTCACCGACTCACAGAAGATGTCTATTCCGTGGTGCAGCCACGTATGTAATCCAAGTACTTCCCTCCAGTGCGCAAACCTTCAAATCTTTTCTTTTGAGCTCTTATGACCATTTCTTCTTGATCACTTCCTACCCATTGAGAGAAAAGATCTTTATGGTGCATTTGCAAACCTTCTGCAGGCTTAGTCTCTCAGACATCAGGAAAGTTTGAACTTGAGTGACCACACAAAGCAGTCAGTTATCAAGGATGGATGGGGGAGGGGTACCAACTGCGGCCATCCCCCCCTCCTGGAGCTTAAAAAATGAAAGAAAAAAATTGAGAGAGAGGCAGTTTTGGGGGGAGAGGTCTGCTTGTTTCCTCACCTTCCAAAAATGTGTAAAAAAGCCCCCAAATGTAACCTCAATCCTCAGAAATCAAAAAGTTCCAAAAACAAATTGCAAAGTTTTGGGGGCCTCTTCCCCAACCCCCCCATTTTGCCCCCCCTTTTTTTTTCAGGACCGTCAGTTATAGGTTGACTTGTTTAATAGTCAGCAAACATTCTTTGTGATGGAGATGACGATACAGAGGTGAATGTTTGCCAACACCATGTAGCTGTCATTTTGCCTATCCAGCGATCAGTGCCAAGGATTTTCACTCGCACAGTGTAAGTCTCACTTTGCCCAGTGCCATTCATTGTGTCCTCTTCTCCTTCCAGGGAAGACATTTGGACAACTCAGAGAGGCGGGGGGAATGCTGCCCCGCCCATGATGATCGTTCTTTACAAACAGCACACCGAAATCCCCCCAGAGTGGCACGTCAGGCACCTTGGTTAGTATTAAACATCAAGAACGGTGTAGTTATTGCTAGGCTTTTGTTCTGCAGTGTTTTTTAAATTTTCAACTCTAAAGGGAACAGTTTCTTTCGAGTTGAGGGAGAATGACTTTATGTGGAACCAAAATCCTTCAATTGAGAGGACTTTCAGATTTTCACTTTGTGAGAATGAAAGTGAAAATTTGCGTAACTCATTGTAGTGATAACTTTTCAGTACCTACTAAAACTGTTCATTTAGTAAACTTTGTAGTTTCACTTATGTTGTTGCCTTTGTGTTCTAATGTTCAAACTAAAAGACACATGGTTGCATCTTTCTTGTTATTTCCAAGAAAGGAATTTGCGCCTGGGAGATATTAATTAATTTTGGATTTTTTTGCCCTGCCTGACGTGTAATGTAAAAATGTATACTCAGTGTTTGCGCCTGAAGGTTTGTGAAAAAACCATAGGGGTACTTGGGTACAAGGTTCCCTGGTGCAAATCCATCCTTGGGAATAGTCGTTCCCGCTTCTCGCTGCTACATCTGACTCGAACCAGCTGCCAACCCCGGAAAGCTCGTCGGTCGAGTTGTTAAGACGTCTGCACTTGTAAGAAGGAAGTCGTGGGTTCAAGTCCCACCCAAGTACATTTGTGGTTTTTTCATAAGCCTTTGGGGGCAAGTACTGAGTATACAGTGTTATAATACACGTAGGGCAGGGTAAAAATCCAAATTAATTAACTCTGTTGTTAACATTATGTTGTTATTTCAGGTTAAGGAGCAAATCCGTTGTGGTTACCGACATCTTTTAATCATTAATTATTGTTACTAAGAGCACTGTTAATACAAGATTCTGCTCATAATAAGAAAATGTTTAGGTCCCAATCCTTTGTTTCTCATTGTTGCCTTTCGTGATAATACAATGTTCCTGTTCTAACAAAGTATTTTGTCAAGTCCGAAGGATTAATGAGGTTTGACTGCATTTATGAGATTCTGGACATTTCTTTGAAAGTGGGAAACTAATGATTTTTCAATGTACCTTTGTTTGTGTATATGGATTGCTGGCAGTTGATGCCACTAATAACAATTCTTATGTTGGTTGAATTCTCATTGTCACTGTGTCCCAGGTGTGACCTCCGGAACGCGATACTCTGAGAACTTTGTGAAATCGGCGAAGCTCCTGCACTGGAACGGCCACTTCAAGCCCTGGGGGCGGACCTCCCAGCACACCCTGGTCTGGGAGAAGTACTTCTTGCCTGACCCCATGGGCAAGTTCAAGCTGATCCGCAAGTACAAGGTTGATTAACGAGGAGCCCTGCGGGGCCCAGGCTACCTGACCCTTGCAATACCTTCCCTATATTAAAAAAAAAACCAAGTTAGATCTGACAGGGACTAGCACAACGGAATAGCCAGAATTAGGGGATCTGCAGCGAAGAAGCATACCTAGTCATTATGTCAGTACCTTAAGGTCCTTATTGACAACGATGTACTAAGAGGTACTTAATGTCAAGAACTTTGTTAATTTACATGAAATCAATTAGGAAGATTTGGTGAAAGTCAAGTCCGTTGGCCCCCAACAAAAGCTTATTTGGAACATGTTCGGTTCCAATTAAAGTATTTCTTTCAAGTTTACAATAGGGCCTAAAAAGTATGTGGGTATTCGATAAATTTAAGGTTCAACATGTGACATTTTACTTTCACTCTTACACCTGATGTATACTTCGAGGGATATATCACTGAAATTGATTTCAAACTATTGTTCCTTTTTTGCAGGTACATGCAATTTGCAGTACTTATTCAATTTTGGAAATTAAAATGAGTCCTAAACATTAAAAAATCATATGCCAGACTTAACAGGGACTGGAAAAATTTGACCTCAAATATATGGAATGACCCATTTGCCAAAAGGTCATGTGACTGCCATAAGGACCTTTCAGTACTGAATGCAGACCATGTGACTTGTGCCCATCTTGCCTTTTCCTTTAACCTACTGTGACAAAATCTAATAGTGGGAAAATGGTGCTGACAGATGCACAAACTTTATATTTATTTGCATATGGTTGAAGATCACTCATTTGTCAAAGTATTTCAGTGCTGGAAAATATTGGCACTTTACAGTTTGAATGTAACGACCCACTGTCTTTGATATATTCAACCAACCTAGGACAGAGAAAGGATCCATTTCTTAAAAAGAAGATTCAAAGACACAAAAACTTGGAAAATCTTTCACAAAAGTTCAAAATGTTTTCATCAAATGCAGTGTAATGGGAACAGCCTCACAGTTAAATGGGTCGTTTCAGTTCTTCTGATCATTCGAAGGGTTTTCCCAAGGCAAATTGTTTCACAGCAATTCTAGTCTCGATGGAGAAAAAAATTCCTAACCCTCCCTGTGCAAAGATACTGTATAGTCTTCATGATGTGTCAGGATTTGTCAGGAAGCTTCCGAAGCTTGTAGAATACCATTGCTTTTCTGCAAAGTGGAAGTTTTCAGAGGAATCAGGATGGGTCCTTGGCAAAATGCAGAGAGAAACACGAACCAGCACTCTCACATTTGTCAAGGCTTATATTTTAATATCTTTAGATCTTATACATTGTAGATCCTAATTTTTTGTCAATGTATTATTGCCACCAGAGCCATGTACAGAGAGTGTCGCAGTGGTTGAAAACAAACTGGCAGGTACATCAACCAGTGCACTTAGAGAGTTGGTAACCATTGCCGCACGATCTTCTTTACACATAATGAACAGCCATTTTATTTCCAAAATCTGAAGTTGGCGCTTTCTGTATAAAGCAGCCCTGGTGGCAACCAGGGTGGCAACCTGGTGGCATCTTCTGACACACTCTTTAGTATTCTCGTCATTCGTACTTTCTGTCATCTTGAACATGCATCTGCCTGCTTCCGTGGAATTTAAAAAATTGTTTTGCAAAGAAATATTGTGCTCTTTATGTACTGTGAGATTTTGAAACAGTTGATGCGTTTTGATATTATTACTTTCTGAGTGTGCTAACACTTCATTGCCAACCGTAAACTTTATGTGCTATTAAGTTTCATTCAAATTCTATAATTTCATAGTTTCTGTTTTTTTGTGTTACAAATTCATTTTTTGTGTGCTAACCATTTATCGTAAATAACACATTGCCAAACGAAATTCTTGCCATGTTGAAAAAAAGAGACCATTGTAAATAGCAGATTTAGAGTAAGGTTTACTTTGATACTTTTTGAAACACTGTCGTTTATTTTGTATAAAATTTTCTATAAAATAGGTGTAACAACTTCAGTAATAATTTCTGCAACTTTTAACAGGGAAACGATGTGAGAAAAGACAAAATCGATAGCAAACCCTCCGATCTAGATACGTGTAGTGTCTATGTACCAAGTTTTTACTACTTTGTTATAGAGAATGACATATCTAACCAATTTTGTTTCCCCAGAAACTTTTGTGGTCTAGTTTTTGATTGCTTCAAGTATACAGTAAAACATTGACTTTATTTTAACAGCATTGGTTATTTCGATAGCACATTTGAAAAATATTATTTTCACATTATACTGAGCATTGAAAAACGCAACAAATTTCTGTTGATATTTTTTGAGATTGTGTTAGTTTTACACCAAAGTAGTGAATACTGTAGCACCTTAAAGTTACAGATCCCCTCTTTTCAAAGATGTGGTATTTATTCACACATGGTCGTGGATAGCTGAACAAACTTTGTTTTGGCAAAAAGACAAGAGGGATTGTAACCAAGTTTCACTTGAAATGCCAGCATAAATCCTGTTCAAATCCAGATCTCTCCTATGAAATGTTTGTAATGAATAGGCCAGATGTGTTCATAGTGCAGTCAGGTGAATCGTTACGTATCTTAGTGATTGTAATGATTTACTTTGCATAGGTTTTAGGCCTATATTGAGCATGTGTAGTTGTTTGCTCATATGATGCAAGATATGGGGCAGAGAGAACCCCCCCCGCCTTTGTGTTTGTCATTGTTTGATCGGAATCTCAGGAATTCTTTACAGACTTCTAGGGGGAGTGCGTTAGGTAACTATCGTGTGTATAGGGATTGGACATGTGGGGGGGGGTACCCATCGGCCCGATTTCGTGCACGGTATCAGTTTGCTTATTGTCCAAGGTGGTTGGGTCGACTAGTACGCTCGTACCCAAAAATTTAAAGATTATGCCAAAATCATTCTAAGAAAGATACTCTAACCAGGGCCTTCTAGCCAATTTTCACCTGACTGCATTGTTCAATGTGTTTACAAGACAAAGATGAGCACACCGTGTTATTGTTTCACAAATGAAAACATCGCTTTGTGCCTCTCATAAAGTGCGTTCCAGGGTTCAAATTAACATGTTCACGTATGAATCTTTGCAGCAGTCAATAATCGATTTGTGTTTTTCAATGAACAAACAAAACTCTGAACGGACATGAAGTACTGCGTAGGACTGAGTGACATTGTGATAAACCTTCTCTTGAGCTTGGTGGTAATTGTTGAGTTTGCTCACTGAAGTGAAGAACACAAAAGGAAGGCGAGAAATATTCTATTATGTTATTACATTCTTGTTTGTATTTATACAGACAATCTTTAAATAATGTGTGCAGGGTATTTGTAGTTAATAATGGGATCATGTAAAAAAAATCTAACTCTCCCATCTAAAGTTTCAGAATATCCTCATCTTATGTTAATGCATCCATGATATACTTGTTAAAGCATTGATAAAACACATTTTCCCAAGGGCTTAACAAACAACTCTAGAAAGTGCAACTAACGAAATGAAGAAATAAACAATACAAGTACAATGGATATGAAAATAGATATGATTAGACTTTTGAACTCAGTGGTGTATGGATTCGTACGACCGTACGTGGGTGCTAATTCGCTGATGAAACTGCGTGTAGTTAAAAAAAAACCACCATCTTAAAGTTTCAAATCAATCGACCTGTAACACCTTAATGTACGTGACGCTTTGTTTACATGTGCGCTATTGGACGCGATTTGTCAAGTTCCCATTAGAAACCTTCCTTTATGTTGTAAACAATGTTTGGTGCCATTGTTTTAGGTTTATATTATTCGTGTTTGATGCCCATTCTGTATATTGTACACTAATGCACGTGTACAGGCCTTGTTCAATGTGATTTCAAGTTAAGCAAGTCTGTGTGTTATTTTAGACTACAAGCACATGTGATTTGTCTGTTCCAACTGGTCAACGTTCATTCCATACCCCCAGTTTTATGAAAAGAAGATAGAATTAAAAATGTTGCTTAGAAATTAGTTCATTTGAACTATTACCGTGCACATTGTATGCAACATTTATTTAGGATAATAATTAGGTCCACTTTTCGTCAAGAAAATAAAACTTAAGGAGGTCAATTCTTGAGGTTCGGGCGAGATTTTTGCTTTGAAAAAGTAAAATTCACTCTTCTATGCAATAAATTATTTTGAATACCAGTATCTAGAAGTTATATTTTAATAAATGAACATGGAACAGGCAAAAAGCAAGCATAAAGCTACACCAAGCACGTGGTAAGCATACAGTGAGAAACAAAACTTGAAAAAAAATTATCCCAAAACATTTTTTTCTTCTAAAAAGAAATCTCATTAAAAAAAAAGTAGAAAAAATATCTTGTAGCAACGATTTGTTTCAAATTAGAAACAGTGTTTCTAAACATAGATCTCATGAGAACGAATTAACTGGAGAATAGCCTAACTTAACTTTGACTTATAGTACACATCTCGTAAAAATGAAGAGGGAAAACATCTCCAAAGACGGACTTTGATAAAACATACTGTACTCTTTAAGTTAAAAATGAATATGAATGATGGCACAACAGTTGAGAACACGCTAGTCATATTATCTTTGCTTAAACCCCCCCCCCCAAAGAACAACAACAACAAAAAACTTTCGTTGATGCGTCCGACGGGACAGCGTCGGATCGGTAATGACGCACCCTCACGTGCTGGGCTCAGAAGTTACGTCATGCATATATTTATAGCGTGACGAGTTTTGAGTTCAGGGGGAAATTTTCCTTTGTAATAGTATAGTACCCAGCCTGTGCATTAACATATCGAACAGAGATATCACGGTTTGCATCGGGTACCAGTTTATGTCGTCATAATATGGGGCAATACTTGTGACTCGTCGGCATAAAATCCTTTCGCGAACAGATTTTTCCATTTCATTCAAGCAAAGAAGCTTATACAACAACAGTCTTAGTGTTTTGTGCCTATTAACAGCTTGGGAAAGCTCTTACGAGACAATATTTTATATTAGAGGACACTTTTAGCATTTTAATGATATTTTGAATTGAGGGACCTATTTTGCAATACGCCTACAAAATCAAAACATAGTGGTCAGGTTGAAAACTGAAGCAAGACTCATCACGCAAGGACTGGAGCAAGTTTTTCGCTATTTCTACACATTTCCTACTCCCAGAAACTAAAAAATCAATGACGATGAAGTGGGTGTATAAAGAAGAGCATCCTTTTGAGAAGAGGAGACAGGAAGGGGAGAAAATTCGCAGGAAATACCCGGACAGAGTGCCCGTGAGTTGTTACTGACCTTACCTAGCGTTATAACTGGGCCAATTTACTGCGCCATTGTCATTGATGTCAATGCCAAGGCTCGTTGTCAATGTGTAGGCCCTCAGTTTATGCCCATGGATACTGAAGATTGCACTGACATTTTACATTTGTGAAATATTACACTATGCATTGGGGAATATGACACACTAAATAACAAGCTTAGGCCTATAGCCTATATAAAAATTAAAATTTATGTCAAAATCTTGTTGAGCTGAGTGGAGCGTTAGAATAGTAGTACGGGGGCCTGTGCCTATTCCTCTTTTTGTGATTTTGGACAGGATCGTCATACTAAGGCTCCACGCTTGCACATATAGTAAGGTGAAAACGGTTCTCAAAAATTACAAAGACTCACCAAATTACCTTTAATTATCACCACCTAGGCCACTGGCTTCCAAAAATGCCAATGTCAAATATGCCTAGTTGGGGCTTCAATTATATTTCTGACTTCAAAATCTGTCAAAATCCGACCGTAGAAAAAATGTTGCATCCTGGATCCACTTCAGCAGTTGTGTACAAAGTCTATGGGAAGTGAAGAGAATTTTCTAAATATTTCCCAACAACATTGGTAAATGTTTCTCAGTCCAGAATTTGTCTTTCCAGCGTTTCTGTAATGACTGACTTTTACTGAGATGATATATGATGAAAAAAGTGGAGTCAGGATGTAACATTTTTTCTCCGACTGTTTTCGCTTAACACACACACAGTACTTAAACTTCTCGCCGCCTCCTCCCATTCAAATACGGGCGCGCGTGTAGAGTTTCTGGCCCAATAACTCTATGGGCAAACATGGTCCTCCCAGACATGCCAGATGCATGCATGGCTGGCCTATACGTGGTCTGGGCACAAGACTCGCTGGTGGTGATGTTTTGGAGTGCTACCTACGACTGTTTCCCTGTCAATACGTCTTGTGCCCTGACTACATATGGTCCTCGAACTGGTTTCGTTAGAGGACCTTAAAATCATAAAAAAGGAATACTAACGCTCCACTCAGTAGAGTTAGTCAAAATCATGATCATAAGTTTAAAGACAGTAAACACCTGGTAAAGATATGAAAGATAGGCCACGTTTGTTTTTATACATGTAAGTTGTAACCAAAAACCCATCAGCACATGACATGTCATGAAGGCATGAGACATGTACATGGATAAATGAAGAAGTGTATTGTAGGAATTTCTCCAATAGTATAAATTTCTCCAATATGAAGGGATATTGAAGAAATTTATATAAAAATTCCAGTCATATGAGAAGTCAACCTACATACATGTATATGTACATAACAATTGTACTGGTTTATAGTTCAGGATGTTATTTGTTGAACATCTCACCAGTACTACAGTATATGCATGTAAGCATCGAGATTGTAAAGGAAATGCTGGTATACTGAATTTGATTAAACGGTAAATTTTAAAGGAAAGCCATCTCTTATTGTTGGATACTTTGATACTGCATACATGTACATGTATAATCATCTTGTTTCGAAGGAAAAGAGTGAAAAAAAAAAGACTCATTCTTTCAACAAAAAGAGTGACCCAGGAAATTGAAAAATCTTTAGTGTCCACCCTAACGCTCAGGAATTTCAAGCACATCGGTGACACATTGAGAAATTAATGGGAGGGTTTACCTGTACATGGATCAAAAATTGGGGGGGGGTGTTATGGTGTGATGTATTTGTTTCCTTCTTTCATTGAATGACTCTACAAGTAATTTTGTGTTTTTTTCCAGGTGATTGTAGAGAAGGCAGCCAAAGCACGCATCGGTGACCTGGACAAGAAGAAATACCTGGTGCCCTCTGATTTAACAGGTTTGTTCAAACTGATGGATCCGCCTTCCCTCAGCAGCTTTCCTGTAGCTTGTGCGCTGATCCCAGAGCAGGTCGATCACATTAACCCAGAGGTTAACCATAGGTTGTGCGAATATTTTTGTCGGGCTTGATGGATGGGTCGATCAGCATGATCGCTGGATAACATTGCGCTGTCAATATGAAATCTCCGACTTCACTTCCCTTTTTGAAATTGTCTTCCACGACCATGAATCAGATGTACTTGTAAGGTAATTCAGGTGATTCACAATAGTGCGCCACCAAAAGTTTACAATGGTCAGTCAATCATAACGCGCGAAATTTGTCGACCCTTTCCAATTGCATATTGGGTCGACAAATTTCGAGAATGGTGATTGGCCAACGCATTGCAAACTCTTGGTGGCGCACTATTGTGAAACGGCCGTATTGGCTAATGACAGAACTATCAGCTTATTGTACTGCAAAATGGACAGATTGCACAAGGCTCCAGCAATGGCACACATCAACTGATCGCATCTGGCATATTCATTGCAAGGTGCACAAGGCCCATGTAGATAACACCCAGAGTAAAGCCCTACCTGTACAATGTATATGGTCATGGACTTTTACACTGTACATGTATCATTGCTTTTAACCTGAAACAGCCAGGCTTTTTTCAGATCACCCCATATCCAAGGTGGGGGGGAACTGTTTTATGCATGATTTTTTGAGAACTTGGTATGCATGTAAAGATGCTTCTAGTGAGTAGCCTACTGTGCATGTACATCTGTGAAGTTCCAATTTGATCCAACGTATGATTTTGTTGTCATGGTCATTTGAAATCTATGGTCTCACGTTTGCCGGCCTGCATGCGTTGATTACCTGTGGTATTTCTGGCTGAGCTGTCACGGAAAAAATGAGCATCTTGCAAGAACATTCTGTCTGATTTTCACAACATTTGGTTGAAAAGCCACAAGACATTCTGGAAAAACTCCTGAAGGCTTGGCGTAGGCAAAATATGCAATGCCCCCCTCCCCAGCTCGTTAGGGTTAAAACTAGAATTCTGTCTAATCCACCCTTTGAAGTTAATGTTTCAAAGTAAATGTACATGTCAACTGAGTTGAGCAGTGTGAACACCATCCCAGCCGTCTGATGTAACTACATGTACATCATATCCGTCCGTAGTTGAAATGCACTCTCACCGGCGAAAGGAAAAAACAGATGGTATGATGTTTTTAACCGGGTTCTTGCAGGCGTTCGGCATGCACACAAAGACCATGTATTCTAGACTAAATTTGTGGTGCATACTCTGCATGCTAAATGTCTGCACCTACGCCGTAAGTGCGTACCAAATGGCTGTTAATTTCAGTTCCAAACACCCACTAGACTGATCTTGGAGGATGTTGAGTGACTTTGTTTGACTCGTCCCAGGTAGTTTCCTCAGTTCCTCCCCTCCAGGGCTGCTTGCTGATCTTCACATTACAAAGTGTTCGTGGGATAGGCCACATTTGCATTAATTTGTGTTATGGAAGGCACTCTATGGCGCTACATTGTAGCCAGTGTGTGTGTGTTCCAGGTATTTTTTACCAGCTGTTGCCCCGGCACCCTGTCTTATGTTTCCATTTCCTATAGCAACGACAGAAATATCAAACAGGAACGAGGCTCAAAGGAAGCTTGTGGACAATTACATGTATCAGGTATTTTGGCGATGCCACAAAGGCTGGCTTGGAAAGTACATTTTACTCTATGTCAGTATGGCGAGTCCAGTTATATTGCAGGTGTTTGTTGTATAGGCACAGGTACCTTTGGAGTGATCATTTTATTACCCTCATGTTAGGGCCGAATGATGCTGAACATCAAGTAATTCTGGATTGTTTAATTTTTCAGTTGGCCAGTTCTATTTCCTAATCCGGAAGCGGATTCAGCTGCGCCCAGAGGACGCTCTCTTCTTCTTTGTAAATAATGTTATTCCCCCGACCAGCGCCACAATGGGCCAGCTGTACCAGGTATGTGCCCTTGTTCTTGCTAGCCCTTCTCTACCTCTCAAGGTGTACTTTGAGCTCCATTTAGCACTGCCAGAAAATTCTCAGCAAAGAGATACCTGTAGCGTGTCATGATGAATAGTGAAAGAGAGTTTTCGGAATGTGCTGGGTTTTTTTTTTTAAAGGTTAATCTGCTGGCTTTGCTCAGTGGGCAGTGATTATGGCAGAGCCAACAGAAGGAGGTTTCATCACCAGCTGCTCCTAGTAACTACACCTAGCACATGCACAATCTGGAGGGTTGTGTCTGAAGAGCATCACTTGTACTGCACTGTGGGGTCAGGAGATTGACCTGACAAACATGTAATTGTGTTGACTTTTGCTTTCTGTCATAGGATCACCATGAGGAGGATTTCTTCCTGTACATCGCCTACAGTGACGAGAGTGTGTACGGGGCCTAGATGCATCACAAATTGTGTTACTTCACTGCACATACAAGAAAAGAAAACACTGTAAAAACCTAAATAAGAAACAAACAAAAAAATTTGAATAAGAAATAGAAAAGCAAGAGAAACAATTTGCCATGAACTTTACTGAATTTGCCAAACTTCAACACTAATCAGGAACTGAAAAACATTAGAACATGACGGTAATGATGCCAGGGGTGCTGCAAATCTGTCTTAAGTAGGCCATTTTAAAATCTGCGTAATAGCGACAGCTAAGGAGATGGCTTTAGCCTCTTACAGGTGGCCACTGTAGGTGCACACACAGCACCTACAAATTTCAGGCAGGCCTTGTTCTTGTTTCTGATTTTGGCAAATTTGAGGGAGTTGGGTTGCACATACTCGACGTCGAACTGTCAAATTTCATTTCAAAGCAGTTACCGCTCATACATTGTAGAAGTACATGTACATTTATGTAATACTGCATTAAGAACTTAAAAAGAGCTTTTTGAAATGAAAAGGAAAACCAGTTTCACTCCTTTACCTGTATCCACTACACACCCATCCTCAGTTTTTTGACATGTAACTACGTATCCCACATGTGCATGTGCAGGCAGAATTCAGCATACCATCTTTAACTTACATTTTCTTTGTTGGAATTCCACAGTTTTAATACTTTCAGTTGTGTATTGTAATGTACATACGTGTTTAATTACTTTGGCAGGATTAAAGTCGGGTAATTTTGTGCATGCCCTATTGCTTTTTTTCCAAGTCATTCATTAAACAAATGCTAATCGAGGATTGGAATCAAGGATTGGTCATTTATTTTGAAACGAAACGAGAGGTGTTATGTAAACTAAAGAAACAAACTCTTAAAACGCTTGCATATATACATGTACATGTATATGTATTACTCTGTTTACACAGAAAATATAAGAAGCTAAAAATTCCAATGATACATTTAATTAAGCTGAATTTAAAGGGGAAAAGTCACTCTTTGCACTACTAGCATGACTAGGAAGCAGTGAAAATTAATGGTTGGACACTGGTTTCTGAGAAACACTTCCCTTCAATTGGTAAAGTGTGAACCCTCGTAAAATTTCTCACAGAGGCTAATTGCAGGTTATGGCTTTATTCACCTATACTATTTTACCAAATGTTTTATGTCAAGAAATCAAACAATGGTGAACATCAAACTATGCTTTAGCTGTAAATATTACGTAATTGTAGTTTAATACATGTTAATATAATTTATGATACTTTCTCCGTTTTATCAGATGTTGGGACCCAATAACGTCACTCAATGTACGTATAGCATAACTTATTTAACATGAACTTACCTCAACCTGCACATTTTTTTGGAAACCCAGTCGAGAAGTCATTCCGTCAAAATGATGCTAGAGTCATGTTGTATTGTCGATTCCTTGGGCAATTTTCGATGCCTTGGGCGCTACATTTAATTTTGAGTAGTGCTCAGATTGTCATCGCGGTAGTTATCCAAAGGAGAAAAAATGCACCAAACAATTCATAATGAAAGTTTGCCGGCAATTTAAAAACAAATGCACGATTGGCTTGAAAAATCAACCGAAACTCTCCTAACTTCTTCAGTTATTCGTAGTATTTGCTAATAAACTGTTCACATGAAAATAGTGCTTTTATTGATGTCACTCGTAAAATAAAATACTCCAATGAAATTCCTTATGTCTGAATTTGTTTCTTATAGCAGTATCGTAAAAAAAAGAAAAACAACCCCCCCCCAAGCATACATGTACTCTGAGTTATAGCCGGTGTTACGCATGTTTATTCGAAGTTGATTGATTTTAAGTTATTTGTGAGTTCAAACATTAAAAACATGTGTTTTGCTGTTTTGGGGAATATTCACGGATACATATGTAATTTTAAACTAGGATTAAAAGTTTTGCCTGAGTAATAAGAGTTGTGTGTAGTTCTCTTTTGTTATCTAGGTCAGGTGTGATTTAGAAGACTTCAAGTTGTATACGTATCATGTGTTTAAGTGAAGCCTTGTTTAGTGTTAACGTGTAACCACTTCACAACACTAGCCATTTGGGTCTTTTAGTTCTGACCTAAACTTCGTGTATCCCTGCCATGACCTTGGAACTTGAGGAGAGGCTAAGAATACAGAGATTTTTGTATTGTGTTTCATGACTAGAGAGCCCTTTAATTACTTGTTTTTAGGTCTTCAATGAAAACTGCATGGACAATATTAACCTGAAGGTTAATGTACACGTAGAGTAAAAACGTATCCTACAAATCAATGATCAGAAAGCTTTTGCACGTAGTTACGGTGAACAAAATGATTCATACCCCTTATACATTATGTTCTCTTTTCTGAAGAATGAACGGTGGAAATGCATCAAAGAATGCATACATAATCCAGGAATGTGTTATGAATGTCATCCTTTTCAATCAATTTGTGGAATATCATTGTCAGTACTATACTTCTGGAGTGTAAAATTAAAGTGCAATCGTGGAGTCTCCCTCAGTTGTGAACATGGCGAAAACTACAGAACTCGGCAAAAATCTCCACATGAGCACTGTGAATGCCCACAATGATAGGAAAGGCTTATTTCCAAGCTCTTCAGAGTACCAATTTCCACTGTACATATACAGTGCACCGCCAAGAGGTAGAGTGCAGTACGGTGAAAAACCTCGGCAAGTGTGGACGGAAACCGAAGATGTCTACTCGTCTGGTCAGGAGAGTGTGCCACGAGGACCTGTCCAACCCCAGAACAACTAAATCACTGTGGAACAACCTGGGTGAGATGGGCAGCAAGGTTTCAGCACAGATTATCTACTGCACACTGCGCTAGGAAGGGCTGCATGGGCATCGTCCAAGAAAGACCCCTCTGCCCACAGGCATCGAAAGGCTCGACTCGCATTTGCCAGAGCGCACCGAGACAAGGGTCAAAGTTTTTGGTCATCAGTTCTATGGTATGACGAGATGAAAATGGAGCTGTTTGGCCACAGTGATGTTTCCTTCATTTGCGTAAGAAACGCAAAACGATCAACCCAAAGAACAGTATGCCGACCTTAAAGTTTGGAGATTGGAGCATTAAGACCTATGCTGTGGGGCTGTATCTGTGCAAGTGGGCCTGGTAATTTCATAAAAGTGTAAAGAATTATGAAGGAGTATGTAGTACACCCAGATTCTGCTGGACATTGTCAAGCAGTCTGGAGAAGTTCTCCATCTGGCCCCCCGACTGGACACACATGTACTGGTACCAATAGGGCCAAAAATACGGCAAAGGCATTCAGGAAATTGTTCCAGGATTACCAACAGTACTCAGCAAAGCCAAAACCCAGACCTGAATGCCACCGAAAACCTGTGGAAAACCCTCTCGTCCATGGTGTAGACCCTCCAACCTGAAAGAGCTAGAGGGTCTTGGCTAAAGAAGTGGGCGAGGATTCCAATGGAGCTGTGCCAAACCCTCGTGAACAGCTACACAAACTGCCTGGATGCTGTAATCAAGAACTTGGGCTTTGTAATTGACTATACTAATTGCGATATGACTCTTATAGGTAGAGGGTGTGAATAATTCTGAGCATGTCAAAATTGAAACAATGTAGCATTTTCTTTGTTATGCAAATGTGGTAAAACCAAAGCCATTAGTCATTTATATCTGACAGCTAAAGGTATCCAACTACATCCCACATATTATGTGCCCACCTTTCATTCGTTAAAAAAACACAAAAACCCTAAAATTTATAAGATGTATGACGAATTTTGTTGTTAACTGTAAATTGAATTTTGAATGGGTTGTCAAAACTTCCCGAAAAAATTCAACCATACAGGTTGCCACCCTTCGAGAAGAATCAGCTTAATTCCGTTTTAAAGAAAGGGTCTGTGGATTTGTCCAATCTTTTTTTTTTAATCTGTTTTTCTCTCAGTCTCAGCCATTCATTGTCATCACCTCAACTAAGATCTCTTAAGTGACATAAAATCTTTTCGAGAACAAAAATGTCGATTACTTCCTGGCTTGAAAAGGAGTCGTATTTTGCAACACCCTTGCCGGTGCGCGCAAGTTCTGTACTTGAGAACTGATCTTTGAAATCACCTCCCACCCCCCCTCCAGCAGTGTGATATGCCAAGCAAATCTAATTGCGATAAATTCTTGTTTGATTTCCGGAAGATAGGCTGACTCTCAGACAGACAGGTATTGAGAGCAAAAATTACGACTCTGCTGGCCAGTTTTTTTTCTGTTCTTTCCGGGCGTAAGATAGTAATTCGATAATGTCATTGCTTTTAAATTAGGGCCTACTAAAGTTGCGCCCCATTCAAAAGAATGTCATGTACATAAAAACTGGCCAACAAGGCCCAAAGTGTCAATTTGAGAATTGCCTCCCGTTCCAGGGGAGAATGATGAACAATGACGTTTCTAAAAAAATTTCGTAGCTCTTTGAATGCATGCCGCCAAATGTGGCCTTGCCAAGTAGTATTTTGTTCAAACTAGCGAGGTCTAGAAATTACTCCTTAAGCCGCATTAAACAGCACAGGCGCTGTAAGTAACTTTTTAAAAAAAAAAACCTTTTCCAACTGTGGTCTGAAGATACACGAAACAGGAAATAGAAATAAAAGTATGAGTACGACCATTTTTTGAGAATTTAACATTAGGGATCGGGCTGTGAATCTGGGGATGAGCTTGATGGTGCTGTTTATTAACTCAGGTCTTCATACCTATCTGGTAAAATAGGTCTGAGTTGCTCTACATGTATTTATCGAACACCTGCCAAAGAGGAAAATATTTTCAAGTACAGAAGAAGTAGCAGACCTAACAAGGTATAATATATTGCTTCACGAGGGAAAAGATATGGGTTAGGGAGTCGAGGAAAGAACAAAAGAAAAAACCCAGCCTACGGTCTGTGTCCTTTTCGGCGCTGTAAGTTGTTTGTCAGGCTACATGCATTGTTATGCAATCTGGCTGGCGCAAATTGATAGCCAGGTGAAATAATTGCAACTGAACCGGAAAAACAAATGAGAAAAAGTAAAGAAAACAACAAAAATGAATAATAAAGTAAAGTACACGAACGGAGAGTAACACAAAGCGTACAAACGAACAATTGAAACAATATCCACAACAGAAAGAAAAGGAGGGACATTAAAGCAAAGGCTTGGTACGCTCTTCACCAATGCAATTTCGTCTATCGTCTTAACGTACATTGTCTATCGATCAGCCAATGAATAAACTGTTTACAACCACTCCCGGAAATGCAATAACAAAGGAATAGAGAACAGGATAACCGAATCAGTTTCACTGACCACATGCTGTGCGAAACTTAATTTTGGTTGCATTTTGGTGCATGCAATTTTGGGAAATAATCTTATTCACAGCAGCTGCGTAACATGGTTTTCTTAACTACAGTCATCCTTTCTATTGGATTGAATTCGTCATGCGTTACCTCGGTTAATTATGTCAAGTAGGAAAAGGGTGACCACCACTTAATTCACTTAGAGTGGTTACAGGAGGCTGGCAGTTTCCTGCAAAGAATTTTGTCGAGACGCGTGCAGCGTTGGCGTAAGTAAGGTAGAAGAGGAATAAGAAATGGCACCTTGGAAATATTGATTTCTTCAATCAGATTACTGCTGAAAATCCCGGCACGGTGTGGGAATATTGTTACGACTTTTTATGATAAAAAAGGCGATTGCAAGACTTCTTCACTTCCTCTTAAAGGCACCGGTAGCATCAGACATATTTGTTGCTTTCGCTACCGTCATTGGTGACTGAGAGGTAAGTCTAACACCACTTTGAAATTCCTAGCCTGCTGGTGAACACAGCGACATGCATTATGAAGAAACGTACAACTTTTTGACTTTAATTGGAACTTAAAACTGATTATGTAGGGTACCCGCACTGAACGGGGAAGCAATTTTAGTTACCTTTATTCCCGTGCAATACAGACCTGCTTTCACTTTGATATTTTGTGTAACTTGGAGCAAACATGTACCTGTGAATAAAGATAAGGTATGAAAAAAGATCCGTTCAGTTGGGTTAAAGCCTCTCTTTTTGTTGTCTTTCCTTGCCGTATTTTGTAACAGGTTTTCAACGAAAGAAGCGATAGATGCCTTGTTTGCAAGACCTCTTGGTTCGTCATCTCCACGTGAAAACTGCAAGATCTGGCTATGGATACCACCATATTAGCGTCTTTTCCGCCGCCGGTGACACCACCGAGACCTGGCTGGGCCCTTCCTGTCCAAATCCTCTTCGGTATCATAGCCGCCAGCGCGACAGTGGTCACTCTCCTGGGGAACTCCTCCGTGGTTTGCGCCTTCGTTCGGACCCGTAGCCTGCACACCTACAGCAACTTCTACATTGTCGCCCTGGCTTTGGCCGACTTCATTGGTGAGTCTGCCACCGTCTTGCTGCGGATTCAGTGAGCACTCGGCTACTGGCCGCTGGGAAACGTGTTCTGTTTTATTCAGAACGTGGCAGGCTCATACGCTTATCACACAACCTACTTGTTCATTTTCGTTATTTCCCTTGACCGCTATTTGTCTTTGGCTTACCCGATCAGACATCTAACTTATCGCACAAGGAAGACAGCCATGATAGTCATAGTTACTACTTGTGCCATTCCATTTGTTATGTGGATTCCGTTTTATTTTTATTGGGAGTTTGGATACGAGGGTGACTTAAAGCGCCCGCCAAATGCATGTTTCCCGCTCTACTTGAGCAGCATTTATGTCACTGTGGCAGTTGTTGTTGTTCAAACCTGGTTGCCCATGCTGCTCATGCTGATCGTGTATGTGAAAGTGTACCGCATTGCACGAAATGCCGTTTCCAGACAGACCATTCAGAATTTGGCAAGGGAAGACAGTCCGCCTAAATCACGTGCTGTGGATATGGACAAAGTTAACAACCATACTGGCAATGGAACGGCAGCCAGTGTCAACGAGGCCTTCGAGTCTGACTGTGAAA